ACAACTGTAATCGGCTTCGTATATTTTCGCGACCGCGTAAGACAATATGAGCATGGATCGGAAACTCGGCCTTTCCGACCATGATCAACAACTTGTCCACAGCGCGGAGCGGAAACTAGAGCTTTCCGCCTGCCGCACATTCAAAGTAATGACTTCAGGAACATGGATCGGAAACTCGTTCTTTCCGACCATGTTCAACAGCTTGTTCATAGCGCGGAGCGGAGACCAGAGCATTCCGCCTGCCACACATACAAAGTAATGTGTTCGGGAACATGGATCGGAACCCCGGCCTTACCGACCTTGATCAACAGCCTGTCCGCAGCGCAGAGCGGAAACTAGGTCTTTCCGCCCGCCGCACACTAAAGTAGACTGAAGACTAGGCCTCGCCAGCTACCAAACCTGCTATTTTATGCTGTTATTATTATTATTATTATTATAAATTACTATGTATCTAAATGTTCTATTCTCATTTGTCTGTAAGAAAACATTTTTCTGTAGACCAAAGAAATAAATAAAATAAATAAAATAATTGGCATATCTAGGTTAATATCACAGGGCAACACCCAAAACGTGATGGGAATGAGACCAATTGTATTCATTAACAGGAGTTAAAATGAATGAAATGAATAAATACCAAAGCATTTTTAAAAGTTGGTTCCCATTTCCTTTTTATACTGATTTGAAGTTGTGAATTTAAGGTTCAAGCTCGGAACACTTTGACGACTGCAACTTCACGACGTAACGACAGCGACATCATTTTGTCGACAAATGTCGCCTTGAAGCCAGCTTCTTAAACATTTTGAAGACCTCAGCGACATAGCAAATAGCTGATTTTAAAGTTTTACATTTTGGTATATTTATTTCACAAATTGTGTATTTTTATTTAAGTAAATAAGAAAAACATGAACCATCAAGAATATGTGATTAATTTTGCGACAATTTAATTTTGCAGCACTACATCTACTCATTGTCGCCGGCAAAATTAGAAATAGATTTAATTTGGCGACGTCGACAATTGCAGTCCTGCAGCCAAGATGTCGTGCTGTCGTCAAAATAATTGTGTCCGTAAGAACGTGTGTATTTAAAATTTGACATATGCTGCTTGTCGCTTGCTGTCGTCAAAGTGTTCCGAGCTTCAAAAATAAACAAGTACCTACAATGGTTTTTTTGATTTCGCTCACAAGTTTCATACTACATACATATACATATGTACTCTATATACATATAAGCTGCATCACCAAAAAAAGTTGCGTTTTTCAGCAGGGATTACAAAACTTATTATATTATAAGACGTCCACCAAAATCTTTCGGAAAAATATTAAGATTTAAGCGAGCTGGGCCGATTTGAAAATACCTCCAAAAATGGAGTTTTTATGAATAAAAATAGTTTCTTAAAGAACTTTTTGAAAAAAGTCCCCTCAGATGACAAAACAGATGAGGCTTAAAAAAATCTCCATAAAAATATTTAAAAATCGTTTCAACGGAATCGTGATAGTGAGATTTTTGATGCTGTTTTTTTACTTTTTTCAAAGATTGATTTACGAAAAACTTAAATAACTGGACCGAAACTATTCTGATTTAGACTTATGGGATCTCGGTAGAAAGGTATTTTCCCACCATTTTTATTTGTGTGCAAAAAAAAGTCATTCGTGTCCCATTTTTTTCAAATAGCAACACATCTTAGTTCAACTTTTTTTTTAAACTATTTAGGTACAGAATCAAATTCACCAGCTGATTGGATATGTTTTCAATTATTGAGAGTGGAAATGATAGTTTTCTTTATAGCAAAAATCGAGTCCGATAGTCAAACGTGCTGGAATGAGAGTTAAAATCTTGACATAACCCACGGAATGATTCGTTTAGTTCAAAATTAGTTTTGCATGGCTTCAAAAATAGAGGTCGAAAGTGTCTTCAAACTCGAGAGGGAACATTAAAATTTACCTCAGCCAGAAGGGCTGGGCTATTAATCAAGCCTGTTATTAATTTTACGATAAATATTATACCTAGCATTTCTCTACGACTTGCGAATGTAGGCAAATTTATGAGCTTTAGACATTTCCTCGAAAGAGGACAATGTTTTGTTTTAAAAAGTTTCACAGCATCGGCATACATTAAAATTTTAGAATATTTTGTTATAGAAGAAATATCATTAATGAATATCAGGAACAGAATCGGACTAAGGTGGCTTCCCTGAGGAACTCCTGAAGAAACTTTAATGATGTTGGAAGAACAATTTTTAAAAATTTTTGTGTTCTATCGGAGAGGTAAGAAGAGATCCATTGAAGAAGACTGGGATGAAAGCCGATTAGGTCCAGTTTACAGATGAGTAACGAGTGACATACTCTGTCAAAAGCTTTACTGAAATCGGTGTATATGACGTCGGTATGAGCATTTTCTCTAAAACCGTTTGAGACATAAGTTTTAAACTCCAATAAATTAGTGCACCCCTGTTGAGATTGTGAAATTGAAAAAGATATAGAATATGTCAGCTGATTAACAATAGTTGCTTCGAATAATTTAGGGATAGCGGAGAGCTTCGCTATGCCTCGATAGTTTTCTATAGAAGACCTGCTGCCGTTTTTGTGAAGTGGTATTATGAAAGATTCCTTCCAAGCTGACGGAAAAACACCATGTTTTAGTGACAAGTTGAATAGAGTTGTTAAAGGCTCACAGATATTCTCCGCGCAGTTTTTAAGGAAACAGGTTGGACGATGTTTGTTCATCCTACCTTTCCAAGGATACCTCACAAGTCTAAATCGGAAGAGTTTAGGTTCAGTTATTCAAATTTTTCTTATACCAATCTTTGAAAACAGCCTCAAAAATCGCATTATTACGATTCCGTTCAACATTTTTTTTTATATTTTTATGTAAATTTTTTAAGCTTAAACCGTTTTGTCATTTGAGGTGA